AGAGGGAATGGGAAAGGAGGAAAGAGAGACCTGGGAGAAGAGAGAGGAAATGGGAAAGGGGGAAAGAGAGACCTGGGAGAAGAGGGAGGAAATGGGAAAGGAGGAAAGGGAGACCTGGGAGAAGAGAGAGGAAATGGGAGAGGAGGAGAGAGAGCCTGTTGAGCTCAAATGTAGTGTTCTAATTCTTGAAATCCATAATACATGCTAGCTCCTGCAGCTTTTCTTTTGACTCCTAAATTTTGGTCCTATATCTGCCCCTTTCAGTCACAACTAAAGGGATTGCAACCAATATAACCTAGGCCATTGAAAACAGAAGATGAAAGCCGTCTCCTCTCCATCCTCCACCAGTGTACCAAACACGCTGCCTCCATCACACTGTTCCTCTGTCCAGGCGAGCTGCCAGTCTCCCTCATCCCGGTTAAGTGAACAACTGCTCTTGTCTCTCAAACTTGATCTATCTTGAGGTCTTACTGTCTGGAGTATGGCTGACCGATTCCTCCCTCTCCAAACCATTCTGTGATCTCAATACTGACCCATCCCTACCCTTCCAGCCTCTTCCTTTCCCCTTTTAACAAGGACTGTCCTTTTTGTTCTACCAAAATACCTGGGAGGCCATTAAGCTGAGCCTGCTCCAGCGCCTGGAGTTCCCATGTAAACAAACCATGAACCTAATCTAATGTCACCAGGAAAACACAACAAACATAACCTTTACCAATCAAAACCCGTCAACTAACCTTGAGCCAGGGACTGTACACTGCCACAGTGCACATGTGCAGGTCAGAAGATGGGCCAGGGACTGTACACTGCCACAGAGCACATGTGCGGGTCAGAAGATGGGCCAGGGACTGTACACTGCCACAGAGCACATGTGTGGGTCAGAAGAGCTTTATGGAGTCCACTTTCTCCATCCGCCTCTAGATGAGTTCTAGGAATTGAACTTGGGTCTCATGGTTTGTGTTCCAAGTCCCTCTACACACGGAGCCATCTCGTCTGCCCAAAGACAAAATTCTTAAAGCTGCTTATCTACGTTTCCTGTTTTCCTTTCTCTGTTATTCATAGCTTTCTAAAAATGCTCTTTCATCAGAGAAACATTAACTCAGGTCCTGGGGGACTTTGTGTTGGTAAGGTTTTTATAAACTCCATTTTGAATGAAGGCTCCATAACCTTCAGGGTCCCAGAAGAGCAGTCAGAGTCAGGATGCCCCATGCTTCTCATGCCTACAACAAGCCAGTGTGCTTGTTCAGTTGTCCGGTCCACCTCTGAGTCTATGTCATCCCCTGCCAGTCTGATCTGCTAGTTACAACACTACTTCATCGCAGAGTATGTACTCAAAGAAATTATGTAATCTCAAAGGGCAATGGAATGGGTTTGGTTCCTAGAAACAATTTCTATGAGTTTAATTTTATACTTTCAATAATTACATAATGATAACACGTGGACAGATACATAACCTGCTTTCTAAAAAAAAAAAAAAAAAACCAAAGACAAAGACAACCTCCTGAGTGGCTTAGAAATGAAACAAGACTAAGAATAACTGCTCAGAGTCATTCTAGCAAGTAAAACCCAGAGAACTATTTTTTGGGGGGGGGGGGGTACATGGAGTAAAAATGACTTTGATAGGCAAACATATTTCTAGCCCTGTTATCTTGGGCAGGTGTCTTTCTGAGCCTCAGTTTCCCTCATTTTTAAATATTTTAAAATGTGTGTTTGTGTGTGCACTCGCGCGCGCGCGCGGGCACGCGAAAGAGAGAGAGAAAGACAGAGAGAGACAGAGAGAGACAGAGAGACAGAGAGAGACAGAGAGAGACAGAGAGACAGAGAGAGACAGAGAGAGACAGAGAGAGACAGAGAGACAGAGAGAGAAAGAGAGAGAGAGAGAGAGAGAGAGAGAGAGAGAGAGAGAGAGAGAGAGACCCAAGTGACTAGAAGGACTAGGGTCCCTGGAGCTGGAGTTCCCCGTAGTTGTGAGCCCTGGTCATGGTGCTAGGGACTGAGCTCACTCATCTGGAAGAACAGGTGAGCTCCGGCCTCCGTTCAACCTCCTGTTCTTCTGCAGTTTCTATGGGCACTTTCTTTGCCTTTCCTTTCACCTCATCTCCGTAGCTTTTGCTCTTATGTTTGTCTCTTGGGGTTTGAGTATGTAATGCCCTCCCACGAGCCCGGGGATTTGAATGCTTCACCCACAGCGCTGGTCCTAGTGCTGTCTTGGAAGGCTATGGAACTCTGAGGAGGGAAGATCGAGCTGGGGGAAGTGGTTCGCTGGGGGGGTAAGTCATAGGGGTTCTAGAGGTTAAGCTGGCTCTCTACCAGGTCTCCACTGCTCCTTGGTCCACTGAGATACGAATAAGCCACACTGTATGTTCCTCACTGCCCGAATGGAAGCCACCATGAATTCCATCAAGCCTTCTCCACTGTGATGACTGTATCCTCTCCAACCAGAGGTCAGAGCAAGCCTCCCCTGAGCTCCTCTTTCAAGGGTATCACGAGAGCGGCAAGGAGATAATTAAAGCAGCTTCACACATAGCCATGCACACCTGGCTTCTCTGCGCCACATATGCGGTTACAGCGATGGAATGGTAACTAAGAAAGCCTATACACTTCTTAATGTGGCACACAAAGCCTTTCCCCACACATTTGTTAAGGCACTCCTAAAAAGGAAGCTAAAATTAGAAGTCGTTCACCACAAGGTCACTCAAATAATTTCACTGTGCTTCAAAAATCCTTCCTACCTGGTCAAGTTTCAGTATCAACTAAAGTCAACCATGTCAAATCCTAAGAAGACTGAGGAATGAGAAGGAGCCTTCCTCACAGATGTTTGCCTAGGATGGAAACTAAGCAAAGAACTCCTGGGGCTGAGGTGTTCCAGGTGGCTAACGGAAGGACATTTGACTAACAATGACTGTCTCTGCTGTTGCCAGCTCCTGCAGCAATCCTTAGAACCAATGACATTTGCCTTAAGGTAGCTTGGATGGACTTCTTTTTGTCCTTTGTCCCCTCAGATGTGCTCGTTCTACCAGAGTATTCAGGGTTGCAGTCTTGATGATCCTGTGTAACCGTTATGTGGCGGAGAGTCAGTTTCTCACACTTATTTGGAGTTGACATGCCTTCTCCGTGTCCATGGTCAAAGGTGCTGTTTGTCCCTTGAACTTCAGCTGAAAGTCCCTGTCAGTCTCCAAACCTTTCTGCTGCATCCCCTTTGTGCACCACCTGGAAACTCCTTCAGAACTCACACTCCCTGCCTCTTTCTGGATATTTTCTTCTTTGTTTTTCTTAGAAGTCAGGCTGCAGCCCTCACTGGAAATTGTTTTCCCTAGAGTGTTCTCAAGAAGCGTTTGTTCCCCTACCCGGCCCCCACATTCCACATACTACAAGCCCAGAGGCAGAGTAAGTGTCTTTCATGGCTCTCACGGCTGCTGGCCATTCTTCTCCAGCTGAAAACCCCCAGTTCTTCCAAAAACTCACACCCTCAAGTTCTACCAGCCACTCACCCCTCAGGCTGTCATCTGCCAGCCTCCTGTTCCTGGTTCACGACAGACATTAGTGTCTGGCTTGTGAGCTGCCCCCTCCCTTCCATCTTGCTTTCGGTCACTTCTTATGGCTTAATAGCCACCTAAAATGTGTGCCAAGAGATTAGCGGCCTGTAGCCTCCTCTCCTCACTCCCTTGCTTTCTCTTTCCCCACCTACCTCAGCTACCACTCCTACAATCCTGCCTTTGCAATCTCCTGGTCAGTGCACACACTGTCTTCAGTAATGTCCCGTCATCCCAGGCTCTAGCCACGCCCTCCCAAAGGACTAACCCCCAACAACCTTTCAACCATACAGATTCCTCCAGCTGAAAGGCCCCGTGAGCCACCTTTTCTCTATCTCCTGGAGAGTAAGAAGCTTATTCATACAATAGCTGGTAGATCAAGGGATCTAGAAGAGATAATGGCATAGCCAGAAACAAGGAGTATAATAAACTATTGGCACCAACAGCCTCAAGGGGAGAGAAGGAGATCCCTGAACTCCAGGAAGAGGTGGGTAAGAGGGGGATGTGACAGAGAATCACACTAGAAGCATGGTAAGAGAGAGACAGGCATACAGAGGGAAAGTACACATCCCACTCTCTGATGTTGTGGCCCGTGTCTTCTATTAAACTTCCGGTTCTATCTGGCTAGAGACCAACAGCCAGGGAGCGCCCGCAAAACAATCTACAGTCCTTGGTCTTTCACCACGGGGGTGGGGGGTGGGGGGTGGGGGGAGGGCAGGGCGGGGATCTCTAGTACCAATATCTCTCCTGAGAAAATAGAAACAATCAAGGGAAGACACCTGCACCTTGGCATTAAAGTATCCTTCTCAGGTATGGCACAAGCTCATCCTTGTCACCAAAGAGGAGAGACTGGGCACCATCGCCTTTGACCCACTGGGGTCTTTTTTAGTTACCTGGCTGGAAATCTCAGGTAGAAATAAAAGAAAGAGAAAGGAAACGAAGAGAAGAGGAAGCCACTATGAGAGGAGATGGACCATGAGCACGTGGTCAGGAGAAACAGCAAGTAACAAGGGACACATGACTGGGATGTCTCCCTTAGAATCGCTCCAAACCTGCCCCATCTAGGGTTACAGCTTGTAAATAAGATACCTGGACTGTGTGTCTTTCATATGGGCTAGCAAGAATTTATAACTCCTTTTACAATGTATACGCTCATTTAATATATATGTACATATGGGCACACACACACACTTCCTGAGTAAAATACCTATTTTCCTGTCTTCAAGGAGGATACTGCTTTGGGAAGAATGCCTGAGTGATGGTTTGTGATGCTTGGCCCAGGGAGTGGCACTATTAGAAGGTGTGGTCCTGTTCGAGTGGATGAGGCCTTTGTGGAGTAGGTGTGGGTGTGGACTTTAAGACCCTCATCCTAGCTGTCTGGAAGCCAGTACTCTGCTAGCAGCCTTCAGATGAAGATGTAGAACTCTCAGCTCCTCCTGTGCATCAACTTGGGAAGCAAGGTTATACAGCATCATTTGGTGTATGGGAAGATCTCGAGGTGGCAACCGGATCTCAGGGGACAGTATTTAGCATTTGAATACATAACAGCACCAGACCAACCCCAACAATACATATACGTACAGAAAAGCACTCCTGGCACATTCTTGAGCTTTGTTAATTAAGAAGTACATTTACAAGCATGCCCAGTTCAAGGTTATATTTGAAGAAAACATCCATATTTGGACATTCTTTGCTCAAGGTCATGGAGCAATTTGTAAAGATCTTAATCGTCTTGCTAGGGAAGTCGTGGCTACCCTATAATTTTCTTCCCAATGCTTCAGCTCCACTTAACATATTTCACTTTCAAAATCTTTAAAAAAGATTCTCTCCCCGCACGAGAATGCAAGCCCATAAGGATCAGTTAATTTGACATTTCCGTTGTGTTCTGAATCCTCCGTTGAGTTCCTGCTACTAGGTCAACTCTCAGTCCCCACTTTTGAGTCAATGGATACATAAAAAAGAGAATTAAGCCTCATAGAAGTAACTTGTCTGTGGAAATCCAGGCAATAAGTTGAACATAAAAGTAAGTTGACTCAATGACCACCTTTTTAAACTATCATGATCACACCAGAAATGTACTATTCCAGGCCAGGTCCCCTCCTGGGACGATCCTACGGCAGTGGGAACGGGGACAGAGACTGAATGCCAGGATTTGGTGCTGGATTAGGTGCCAAAGGGTAATAAAAAGATGCAACCTAGGATGATTTTAGCTTCTAGATTGGGCAAGTAGTGCACTTTTTCAGGAAAAATAAAGACCCGGGTTAAACAGAAGTAGGAAAGAGGAGGCTGTGGCAAGGATCCTTTTTCACGATTTCTTGAGATTCCTAAAATAGTGTTAATACAATGTAACAAGCAAATCTAAACTTCCAGTGGGGACTGGGGAGCTGGATAGAACCACAGAAAAGAGCTTACTCTGAGGTAAGCAAGCATTTACACTGCCTTAGGGTTTTTGTTTTGGATTCTTTTGGTTTTTGCTTTGTTTTGTTTTGTTGGTTTGGTTTGGTTTTTGGTTTTTTACTTCGAAAAGCCCTGGATAGTATTAAACTCAGAGCACTTCTCCTGCCTCAGCATAGCAAACCATGGGATTAACAGGGGTCAACCACTAGCTCATCCGCAGCAACGTTGGAAGGCAGACACTCAAACTCGCGGAAACGTCTTGAATAAGCAGGCTACTTCGTTTTTCCAAGTTTTCTAGATGGTAGCTATCGCTCACACAAGTGGACAACAGTGTGGAACGTGGTAGCACCAAGGCCAGGGCGGGCCGGGAGGGCACGAAGGCAGCAAGCGGCTGTGCATGCTGCAGCAGCACGCGATGGCAGGGACCATTCCCAGGAAGCTCGCGCCCCAAACGACTCCCAACTCCCGGCGCGAAGCCTCCGCACGTCACTCGTGTCCCGCGACCTCCGGCCCACAGGGGACGCTGTGGGTCGCCAGGTGCGGCCACGGCGCGAGCGCGCGGTTTCTCCCTGGTGCGCATGCTCGCCACCGCGGCCCGTTGACTTTTTTTTTCTTTTTTTTTTTTTTTTTTTCCCCGGGCCGCCCCGGCGGCTGCGTACTGGCTGTGGGATGGGAAGTGAAGCCCCAGCGAGCGGCTGCGGCGGGGCTGTGCGGAGCAGCCAGCGGGAGGCGGCGGCAGCGGCGCGGCGGTGAGCAGCCGAGAGCGCGGAGCCGGCGGAGGGAGCACCTGCAGGCACAGGCGGCGGCTCCACCATGGCGATTCGCAAGAAGAGCAACAAGAACCCGCCACTGCTGAGCCACGAATTCGTGCTGCAGAATCACGCGGACATCGTCTCCTGCCTGGCGATGCTCTTCCTGCTGGGGCTTATGTTCGAGGTGAGCCCTCCTTCCCGGCCCCCGACCATCGGCCCCCAGCCCCCTAGCCGGGTCCGCGGACCCTAGAGTACCCGGCCGGAGCTGCGCAGCCCCCGCGGCCCTGCGGCCCCGGCCCGCCGCCCCCTCCCGCGCCGCGCAGTTCCTGCTTCCCGCGAAGGGTTACGTGGCAGCCGGCAAGGGGCCGGCGGGGGCGGCGGGCGCGGCCGTGCTGGCCTGGCGCGGTGGGCGGACCTGGGGCCGGGACAGCGGGGCCGGATGACTGACAGGGACCCCCGCTCGACCCCGACCCACAGCCCGGGCCGCCGCCTGCGTGGAGGGCGAGGACGGGGTGCTCGCACCGGGTTGGCCCCCGCCCGCCGCCGATCGTCCCAACTTTCTGCCTGGGCTCTGGGTTCCCGAGGATCGGGTCTGATCCCGACGCGAGGCACGCAACAGCTGTGTTGAGGAGTTGAGCGATTTCATTTCTTAAAGCAGAGGCGATGAGACTGTCAGGAGTGTGTAAATTCTCTTCCCACAGATCTGAGTATTTTGATGACTTATTTAACAGCTGTTGAATGTGGGTAATAAAGTTTGCAAGGTGAACCTGTAACAACCTACGGGTTTTTTCCACCCTCCTCAGTACTTCCGCCCACACCCCCCACTTCCATTTTTTAAAAATCTGTAAGCCACCGAGTCTCATTAAATATATTGATATATTGATGATTACCGTTTTGTCTCCTCTCCCCCTTGCATGTAACTAGTGAGGATAAATATTTTATCATCCATTTTTACTAGTCTTTTTCTGCTGTCGAGAATAGGGCTTTAAAGGTTTGAGTTGAAAGCGAGGAACTAATAATGGAATGAGACAGCCAGTGATGAAAGGTGATTACGATTTTGTTTTTTGTTTTCCGTAGAGCCAATTTGGTGTCATTAGATAACTTTCTATGTTCTGTTTCTTCTCGTCTAAAAGACTTTTCTGAATCTACATGTAAGTACTTCTTGTTCCTGATAGTGTCACGGATGGTTGTAGCCACTTTCTAAGGAGGTGGCAGGGTGAAAGGCAGATAGAAGTAGTCAAAAAGCTTACTAGGTAACCCAAATCTGAGACGTGGTTTGGCCGCCCTTACAGATGAGCCATATATCACTAGTCCAGGCCTCACAGCTGCTGTTGAGGAATCAGATAATTGGGCTTGGAGAAGTCTGACAGTATTGTGTGAGTGGGTGGGATTTAACATCCAGGGTTTGATTGTGGTGCTTCGGTAAATGCTTACCTTGGTTATTTGTTGTAGTGTGAATCCAGGGCTGGTGCAAGACTGGAGCTTTCTGCCTGACCTGTACCCTGAGTCTTTAGTGCTTACTTGCTCTGTCGCTTCTGCATGGGTCAGAAGTAGGCTCTGGGTTCAGTTATAAGCAACATACACAGTGCTAAATATTTGTAATCTCTGAATTTATGAAAAATGTTTTCCTGCTATAGTATTAAAGGCTCTAACTACGTGGACATGGTCAGTAGGCATTTGTCACCATATGCTGGAGAGTCGTGAATTCAAATCCAGTGGCAACTACATAGTGAATTCCAACTCCAATGACCGGTCAGCTTCACATTTCATGTTAACACTCTCTGCCTTGAGAGGTGTAATTTAGGGGTGTGGTGATCTGCTGAGCATGTTCACAGTGCTCCAAGTGAAGTAAAATAGCAGAAATCTGGACACTTAGAAGTGCCACAACCTCAGTTTCTATGTAAATTTCTGCCTTATTTTCTAGGATGTTCAATATTATGTTAATGGTTTTTTTGTTTTTGAGTGTGTGATGTCCTGCCTGTCTTGAAATTTATTAACATAGACCAGATTGGCCTCAAACTCACAAGAACTACGTGCCTCTGCCTTCCGTGTGCTGGATTAAAGGTTTCTAACAGTAAGTGGATGCTTTAATGCTAACTAGAAGCTTTTAAATCACTCCAGAAAGGTGTGCTGTTCAAACGGTGAGCAGAGCAGCGCAGCTTGTGAGGGTCATTTACGTTCCTTAACCAGATGGTAAAGATGCAAGCTTTGAAAGCACGTTGTTCAGATACAGAAGAAACTGACAGCGTGGGTTTTTGCTGTGTGACTTTGAAAATAATTGCTACTTAATCTCAGTCTAATTGTAGAAGTACAGTGTGTGTACGTGCTGAAATAATAGCGAGGATGACATTTTGCAGAACTACGAAGCCTTTTGTGGAAGAATACTGAGGAAATATTAGGGGATTTGTGGGTAAAAAAGAAGAGAAAAACCCAAGAAATAACAAGATATGTTACCAGCCAAACAGGCAAGCACTTGGGAATGCTCTAGAAATCTGCACTCTGCAGCTGATGCAAGTCAGGGAATATGGGAACTTAAGTTTCCTTCTGTCTAGATAGGTTCTTCAAAGACTTAAGTTAGCTGGTACACATAGTGCCTCTCTCAGTCTTTGGCTAGTCCATGGCAGTTCATCCAGGCTGGAAAACAGATGACAAAGGTTTTAGAATCTCAATCTCTCTCTCTCTGTCTCTCTCTGTGTCTCTGTCTCTCTCTCTCTCTCTCTCTCTCTCTTTCTCTCTCTCTCTCTGTATATGTGTTCTAGGGATTGAACTCAGATCATCAGGCATGACAGCAGGCACTAACCCATATGTTTTATTACTGTTTGTTTTTAGTTTTCATTTTCAATTTTCTACATGTATGGATGTTTTACCTGCATGCGTGTCTGTGCACACTGTGTGCCTGGAACCCTGGAAGAAGGTGTCAGGACCCCTGGAACTGGAGTTAGACAGTGGTAAACTGCCACGTGGGTGGTAGGAATCAAACCTGGATCCCCTTGAAAAACAGCAAGTACTCTTAACCACTGAGCCATCTATTTAATCCAACAAGTTTTATTTTTAAACATAGCTTGTCTTAATGTCACTTTTGTCTGTCTTGGAAAAAAAAAGCAATTTTATATAACCTGATGGAAAAGTGGGATTTGATACAAATTCACATACCCCTCATGAATCCGGTGTACAAAGTTAATCGTGTCTACCTCTAACAGTACAGAATATGTCTCATCTTTATAACATCCGGTACCGTGCGCCCTCCCACTGATGGCCACCCAAAAAAACCCCGAAACTTTATGACTTTCCATATGCAGACTTGGATCTATCGTTAAATGTGCTTTTGATGTAAAACCTACATTAATTTCACTTTTTTTTCATAGAAGTAGATAGAAGATAAATGTCCCAAAGGGCCATTTTTGCTCTATAGTGCAGTGAGTGTCAGGGTGACATGTTGAGAGTGTAAACCAATGAGCCTTATTGCTAACTTGCGGAAGCATTGCTGGGTGAATAGTGAAGCTTGGGAAAGTGGCGACGATGGCAGCAAGGTCTATTTCCTCTAGACGGCCTTTGGTGGGTATAGCTCCTATTTTTTTTTCTCCTCTCCTCCTGCCTGATGTCACATGCTAAGCCAGCTGGAAGCCAGATCTTAATTTTATTTGCAAGCCTTGCATAGAAGGATAATCTAATTTTTTTGTGTTTAGAATTTGGTACTATATTTATCTTTGAAGATTTACATTTGCTATGTATAAAGGAAAACAAAGTCTTCCCTAGCCATGGTATCGATGACCTCATATTATAAACTGGAAATGGGGGCATGGAGGCCACAGAAGAGACAGTGCAGATCGGCAAGCAAGACAGCTCTGAGGAGGCTTTGTGTCGTTCAATCTGTGTGTTCAGGGATCAGTCTTAAGTTGACAGCCTTGAGGCAAGTGCCTTTAACCCCTAAGCCTTCTTGCTGGCCCCACAAATCTCACCTTAAACCCTTTTTAAACCTCATATAGACAGACAGACAGACAGACAGACAGACAGACAGACAGACAGACAGACAATTCTCATTAGACTGTGTGTGCATGTGGGAGTTAGAAAGCGACTTGCAAGAATTGGCTTTCTCCTTCCAACACAGGAATCCCAGAGACTGAATTTGAATGTCAGGCTTGACAGCCCACAACACCCATCTGAACCCTCTCACCAGGCCCCTCACCAAGTTTTAATGCAGTGTCTTTATTAAGCCTTCTGTTCAACTGGTCTTCACATCCTCCCTGTGGACTAATTCACTTTAGTGACCAGATTTTACATATGTTTGGGTTGCTTTTTGTGTTCTGTTCTTTTGTTTTTAATCATAGACCCTGATTTATCTCTAGGTCATGAATTCCAGGATAGCAGAGTTCAGGCCCAGCCTACACAGACCCCCTCCCCCTGCACTCTGTTTCCCCGCTGTCCTTTTGCTAGCCAGCATTGTTGGTATAACTTTGCCTCTTTCCTTTCCTCTAATGTATTCACTCTTGTTGTTTCGCCTTTCTTCCTAAAACCTTTCCTTGGCTAAAGGACACTCACTGCATCTTATGCTCGGGAACTATGTTTGTACCCCAGGGGCACCTGCATGTGCCTCCACATACTACACTGCATGTTCTGTGAGTTCGCTGTACATAATATCCGTGATGGTTTAATAAGCCCAGTGTTTTGAAAGACTAACGACAGTGATAAAGCATAACAGTTATACTCCAGTACCAGTTGTATGATGCTGGCCTCCTGTGTTCAGCCTTATGATGATGTGAGGTGAAGTAAGGCAGTTAGGCAGCGGCTGGCCTACAGTGTCAAGGTTCCCAGGACACAAGCACTGCCCTAGCAGTTCTTCTGATGACCACACAGCTTGTAACAGGCCAGTGGTGCCTGTAGTGCAAGTCTACTGGACAGAGGTGATTTACGTCCCGGTGAGACAGGGAGACAGCACAGGTCCCCTCACGTCTCCTGTCACACAGTTCAAACCTGACCTTCCTATCACATGTTTTCAAAGCTGCTGCTGACCACAGACAAATGAAAACCATGCATAAGGGGAAATGACTCTTCTTGCTTTTCCTCACCCTTCTCCACCCCCAGCCCCCACTTCATTGTCTGTAAAACAAACTAGCCTCAAGTTCATGCTCTTCCTGCTGTAACCTCTTGAGTGCTGGGATTGGAGGCATGCACTGGTGTACCTGGCTGCTGCTGCCTTATGTGCAGCTCAGCTCAGACCGCTGAGGGCTTCTAGGAAAGTCATCATCCACTTGTTGATAGTCCCACATTCAGTTTTTTACCTCAGACGTCAGCTACTTTCCCAGTGAGAACTATGCAGTCTTCATCATTCAGGTCTCCATTACCCTTAACAGACAACATTACATATCCCCCATACACATTCATGCACAGGTAGAACCTGCTTTATCAGATAGAAGCTGGGGTGGTAGTACAGCCCTGTAATGCTAGGATTTTGGAGTCGGGGGGGGAAGAAGATTTTAGTTCTTGGTTAGCTGTAACTACTTGTCATATACCTCAACAGAGTGCGTGCTGCATGCACGCTCAGGTTGGATGGGTGGGTGGGTGGATCCTATTCTCATCCGTTCCCTCTTCACTCCCCCATATATAGATTTCTTCATTCACATGAGTAAGACAGTTCCATCCCTGACTCATGACAAATTACAGTCAAACATAGGGGTCAACTATATATATACATGCTATATATATGGTATGTAAGAAACAAATGGATTGCATGCTTAGAGCTGAGTCCCATCTGCAAAGCATCCGATGGCATATATGCAGATACTCCAGAGTTTAAACACAAAACAAAACAAAAAAATCCAAGTTGCTTTGGATCTTAGGTGTGTGTGGATAAGGAGACCTAGCGTGTGCTACCCTCACTGGCCTAGGAGGAAGCACTCAAGAGAACTCTCCTCACATCTTTCCATTGCTTTCCTCTTTCTGGCTGTGTATATACCAGTTCCCCCACCCCACCCCCCACCATCTGTTAGCCCTGCACAAAGTTGTTCTTCTACTCCTCAAAGCATCAGCATTGTGACCAGCTGCTGAGAGGGTTTGGTACCATCTTGTGACTCCTAGGGTTTCAGTCCACACAGTGTGATCTCTCTACCCCTTATGGATGTCACTTGAGCTGTGGCCCAAGATGATTCCGTTCCACTGTCCTCATCTCACGTATGAGCACCCGACTTTGTAAATCCGTCTGCTTTTGAAGCATTCCCCTTGGCTTTGGGGATGCCAGGCTCTTTGTTATCTGTCACCAAACCTCTTTTTAGTTTAGGCACCACTGGCTTTTCCAGGATTTCAGTTTGGGGAGTCAGACTGTCGTGAGTTGCCCCCAGTGCTTTAGGTCTGTGGCAGAGTGAGGCCCCTTGGGACAGCAGCTGTTCCCATCATGTTACAAGCAAGCAGAGGATGTGAAGAGAAAGAATGATGCCTTATGGTCCCTCTTGAGGCCTGACCTGAGGTGACCAGCCAGGCTCTCACTAGGTGACATGAACTAAGAGTTCCAGTAGGACCAACCTTGGGCACATGGACCTTTAGGAGACATTTGCCCAACACTTAACAAGCACTTGAGTTTCTGAGTTTCTGTTCTGTATGTGCTCGTTGCAGACAGTGCACATTTGCATAGACGATGGATAAATTCCCACAGTTCATCTTGCATCCATAAATAGTAATTCCCAAGTCTTCCTCATAAGTCCTCCCTGCCAGGTTCTTGTTGGGTGTAAACCACCTGCAGCCCTTTCCAACCATGTCTCTAGAGAAATGTCAACTGGTGATCAGCCTCTCCCTTGTGTTCTTGTGTCCCACATTTTTATTACTGTTTGTCACCTCGTGCAAGGTTGAGCACCGGTAAGTGGTGTGGAATTCCTTTCTTTCGCTTGCTGAGCCATACTTGGCCTCATAAGTTCCTCTATCCCACCACCACTGTCCAAGTGCCGACTGCAGTCCTTCATGGGATGTCTTGCAAGAGTCTTGTCTTGCGTGTTTGCTCTATGGTGTTCCGTCTTCCATTTATTCTGTAACATTGATGAATTGTGTAGTATTTTCTAGGTGTCGTGCTGGGTTCTTCTTTAAAATTAAATTAGTATTCATCAACTTAATTGCATGGAGGTCAGAAGACAACCTTCAGGAGTCAGTTCTTCCTGTACCACTTGGGCTCCTGAGATTGAACTCAGCTTGTCAGGGGAGGCAACAAGGGCCCTTACTGGCTGAGCCATGTTGCCAGCTTCCCCATACTAGGTCTGGGCAGACAGTTACAGCATGGTGTAGCATGGCCCCTCCTCAGGCACTTATTTCATGATAGGTATGATGCAGGTCAGTGGAGCCCTACTGGATGTGTGACTTGAAGAAGAGGTTGGAAGACAGGGAAGACACCCTTTTTTGGTTTGGTTTGGTTTTGGTTTTTTTTTTTTTTCCCCCTGAGACAGGGTTTCTCTGTGTAGACCTGGCTGGCCTCGAACTCAGAAATCCACCTGCCTCTGCCTCCCAAGTGCTGGGATTAAAGGCATGCGCCACCACCGCCCGGCCGGAAGACGACGTGTAAAGATGTGGTGGAATTGAACTGTAAAGGGAGAAGACTTTCCAACAAAGATGGTTAACTGGGCAGTAAATATATCTGTAACTTGACTACTAGTCACAGTAAAGTGGTCAGGACCCAAAGATTGAATGTTTACCAAGTATTTACAGGCACCAAGGCCAGTGATGCACCAGAAAGACGGGACAGAAAGTAGATGCGACCATTGGAGATAGAATTGTAGACCACACTATCCTAGGAAGACAGGAACCCAAGGAAAGAATCTTGAGAGGTAGAGCAGGGAACATGGTCACACAATTGAAGATGACTATGGCAGCAATGGGGAGACTCCACGGGGGCAAAATACCCATTAGGTTACCTTGCAGGCTTACAAAAGAAGAGACGGCCCCTCCTTAAAACCCTGCAGGCATACTGAAGTGACTCGATACTGTTTGTGTGCTTCTGTCTATCCTGATGTGTATACCTGACCTTCAATTTACCTTGTTTCTACCTCTGCCACCTTCTTCATCCCTTTGTGCACCTTGGGAACTTCAAGCAAGCTCTTGGAGCACACCACCCAGGAGCATTTCCTACCCCAAGGAAAAGCAAAGTGCTTAGAGTCCTTTTTCCTGAGTAGAGGGTAGGCTGTTGGCACAGATCCTGTAGTATTTTAACAGTTTGTTTACCAGTCCAGACGAAACCCAGCGTCTTATCAAGGGAACTCATCTGTATCTGAGCCTTTCTGGTACATCACTGGCCTTGGTGCCTGTAAATGCTTAGTAAACATTCAATCTTTGGGTTCTGACCACTTTACTGTGACTAGAAGGCAAGTTAAGGATAGATTTACTGCCCAGTTAACCAGGCATGTGCTCGTGAGAGGGGATTGGACACGCAGACCCTGTGTGTGATCCATCTCTTACACAAGCTCTGCTTTCTTTTACTAATTTACACAGCATTTTTCTTGTTGGGAACTTCATGGTGATTGTTCTGCAACAGAGAATGGCTATTTGAGAAATCATTGCTTACTGAATCAACTGAAGCTATCTTTTTTGGGGGGAGTGTTAACAGTACAAATGAGTTATATGGTCTAAATCACAGTGAATTCACTGAAAAACCCTTCAGTGAATTGCCCACCAGACTCTACCTATGATCAGAAGTCTCCACTGTGCCTACCTAATGGGCCACAGAAAAGGGGACCTTGCTTCTTAGAACTGGGGGCAGAATTTGTAATCTTTTTGACTTGGTATATTCATTTGGGAGAGATTGACAACTGATGTCTTTCGTGCTTTCTCTCTCCAGATAACAGCAAAAGCAGCCATCATCTTTGTTGCCCTTCAGTATAACGTTACCCGCCCCGCAACAGGTAGGTATTAATTAGATGCGCAATTGAACAGATTTAGAAGTATCCCTGGACACTAGAGTCTGCAATTTCTAGTGTCCAGACTTTATTTTATCCTAGACAGTGTATGAAACTTAGTTTTCTGTGTCTATTGTTTATTATATATTTTGTGCATGGTCATAAAGTTTCATCAGAGAATTCTGTATTGCTTCCTCTAAGCCTTTTCTAAAGGGAATCCTGAGAATGGATATACTCGTTTAGGTTGTTGTGAGTCAGGATTCCTACAGATGTGGTGGTCCACGCAGGTTTTCTGCCCTTTGTTAGGTTTTGCACCAGGAATATAAGCTCTTCAGACACTTTCTTTTCACTTTTCGTTGAGCTCTGCCTCTAGCAAGTATTTTGACTAGAGAACGTATTAGTAAACTCTAGGAAATAGCAGATAATATACTTTTATTTTAGGAAGTTGTATTTCTGCATTATGCTGTGTAAAAAGTCAGTTGCCATGGGAAGTTGGCTGTAGCTGAGGGTAAGAATGCAGCTGCCTGTCGTAAGCCAGAGAGAAGATGCTTGCTTAAGGAAATGGGAGATGTCTGGCAGTAACCCGCTCTGGCTTTTCCCACCTTGGTGGAAGGAGAGAGGGACAGGGCAAGTTTGTCCTATTGTGTGTAGTTTTATAAATGCTTGATTTAGTGACTGAAAACAAATTGCTTGAAAGGATAGTGTCCTGTGGCACTTGAGATGTCAAAGTGATATTCTCACCTAAATGTCCCTAAGCAAGCCTCCCAGACTCCAAGAACAGGTGCCAGCAACCAAACCTACTAATATTTGCTTTGAGAAATTAAAGCAAGTTCAAAAACTAAAATGACTTTTAAGTAGTAGTTGGATCTCTCTGGTGCTTAGAGATCAGAACCAAGTCAGATAAAAGTTAACTTGTCTTCCGTCAATCATCATAATGGAGGGTCCAGTTTGCACGTCCAGCCAGGGCCTGCAGAGGTTCCAGAGGAGACGAGAGTAGTAGCCCAGGCAAGGCTGGTAGAGCGTGGCTCCCTTCCCCTGTTCTTTGGTTTCTGGTGGCCGTGACTAACATGTGTCAAGTCTTTTGTAAGTAATCCCTGAAGTGTTGGGTTGTAGAAAGCCCTTTAGTTGTTATCTCCCCTGGGCTGGAGACCCGTGGGGAGACTGGCTAAGAGATCTCTGTAGAACCTTTATTGGGTTAGTCACCCTTGTTTGTTTCCATAACTATGTGTACCGAGTGCTGTTTTCATAATCTCACGTATATTTTTGTGTGTGTGTGTCCTTTTTGGCCTTCAGAAGAACAAGCTACTGAATCAGCATCCCTTTATTACTATGGTATCAAAGATTTGGCTACAGTTTTCTTCTACATGCTAGTGGCGATAATTATTCATGCCATAATTCAGGAGTATGTGTTGGATGTAAGTATACAATCTCAGAAATCCCTATTTTGTAAAACACTACTAGTTCTCCATCCGCTGATCATCATATATTAAGTGTGTTTTGGATTTGTTCATTATTACTGACAGCTGCTTTTATTTTTAGAAAATTAACCGACGGATGCACTTCTCCAAAACGAAGCACAGCAAGTTTAACGAATCTGGTCAGCTCAGTGCATTCTACCTTTTTGCCTGTGTGTGGGGCACATTCATTCTCATCTCCGTAAGTGTGGCCTCAGCCGTTGTTGTTACCTCTCGTCTGACACTAAGACCGCTGCTCATGAGTGTAATTTAGAGTCTCAGTCTGACTCTGCTGACTGTTTGGGAAGCCTCACCTGTCTTTAAGCATAGGATGTCATTACTATATCTTGTCGTCACTTGGAGACCTCTCTGTTCACAAAGAGGATCTCAAGTCAGCAGTGAGCTTGCCCAGGTTAAACATAAGTGTTGTTAGTCATTTCCTCCTTGAACAGTCCAGCTCTCCCAAGCAACTGAAATGTATAAATTTTCAAGTACGGCAGTCAGAACCTTCAGCTCTCTTTAATGAGAGGGAAGACAGTATCCACGCCATTGTTAACTAACAGCACCTTCCACTCGTATCCCATTGCATGACCTTATGTACATTTGAGATTGTTAAGCACATTCTTTTAAGTCATCATGGTGGAGATCAGTAACAGACAAAGTAATATGGCCAGCATCTACCCGTTAATGTCAGAGATATATTAAAACTCAGCTTTCCAATCCAGTGCCTGTCCCATCTTACTGATGTAAGAGTCAAAAGGGAATACCAGCTTATTATATCTGTGAGTGTGTGTGTGTGTGCACACGTGCATACACACACACTAAATGTTTCATGTGTGCTTTAATGTATTAAGGGTTAAGCAGTGAAGTGTAGTTTTCGTAGAGTCACCACTTAGGGTTGGGAGGGAGTTTTTGCTTTGTTTCTTGTCATTTTTACCAAACACTTCTAGTTTTCTGAGGAAGAGATTTGCATAGCATTGTATGGATTTTCATCATTGTGAACTTCTGTCTAGAAGTACAGTTTTCAGTTCTCTGATTACATGCACCAAAGTGTATCCTTAGAAAGCTGGTGTGCACCTCTCCCATGCTCTCCCATGAGTGGCGCAGTGTTGCTGCCTGTGCTTCCTGGCTCCTGGCCTGGCTGCTGCACTGCACTGGAAAGCTGGGTATTGGATCTCACTTGCTTCTGTGTCTCAGGCTCACTTTCACTTTGCTAACCTAAGCAATTCAAATGGCATTGGACAGACTAAAGTGTCTGATTTCTGCGTGCTTTTTAGAACCTGTTCTGAGGAACTGTAAATGTTTGCACAGTACTCATGAGTAATTGTCTTGTCTCTTAGGAAAACTATATCTCAGACCCGACTATTCTGTGGAGAGCGTATCCCCATAACCTGATGACGTAAGTTATTTTTTTCCCAGGCTTTTCTTAACTAGACTGTTCATTTCACAGAGAAGTCGAATTTGCTCATGCGAGTCCCCCTCTGGACTTGATAGCAATACATGAAGTGGGATCAAGCCAAGCACAGTGGTGTCCTGCAGCCTAGGACAGTGGCATCACCCTTGGCATAAGGGAAAAGAGCTGCGTGCCGTTCCTGTCTGTTACCATTACCTTTGCCAACCTGAGACAAGTGATTTTAGCAAATTTTTAAAGAGAATATTTTATATGTATGACTGTTTTGCCTACATGTATGTATGTGTACCTCCACGTGCCTGGTGCCAGAGAAAGTGGGAGAAGGCTTCAGATCCCCTGAGGCTGGAGTTTTAGATGGTTGTAAGCCACCATGAGGGTGCTTAAGCCCAGGTCCTTTGTAGAAGCAGCATGTGTTCATAAGGGAGCAGCCAACTTGCAGTCCCTGGTGTTAACGGTTTTAATTGTTGTCCTCTTTACCTCCCTGCACCTTTATCCTTTCCCTTTGGCACGTCTACAGTTTTCTATGGTTTCTATCTTTTCTTTCCATACCCTCTACTTCTCTTATTCCTTCATTTCTGCTCTATTCTCTCAGAATCCTAAGGCTGGGGTTCTTTTTCTTCTTGCTTGCATCCTGGATGTCTGTACATTGCTTCTGGAAGCCCCTTGTCAGGATAACACAGTTCCCTGCTTCACGAGAATCCTCCTTGCAGCTTTGCCAGCAAGGAGGCCTTTGCACCCAGCGTTGGCTGTTTGGTTTATATTTATGTAGCATGTGTATATGATTTCGGGTGTTCTATAATCACCCCACATGTGTGAGTCCTGCTCTGTGCCCCTACCTGTCAAGACTTATATCCTTCTATCAACAGTAGAGCTGTCTCCTTCTTTATTCTTTCTGCTTAGGAAGGTATGGGCACTTCTGATCCAGATAGTACTCACTGGATAATTGATGGTCTAAAAACTAGAGAAAAATTCACAAAGGAAGGGAGTCACGTAGCCATGAGCATGCCTGTTTTAAAGCCAGCGGTCATATAATTCCCCCTTCTAAGTCATACGTACATGCAGCCATGTACCTTCTAGAAATGGCTTCAGGTTGTCTTTTCCACTTTACACTCAAATGGAAGAGTGAAGAGATGGCCAGGCAGAAGTGGGAGGGGTGTATGGTGTATGGAAGAGACTGCTGAGTTTGACCAAGACGGTCTCTGGAAACCCTCCCTGCCTTAGCCCTGCCTTTCCTGTCTCTGCTTCCATTTGCTTGTGTTCTTCCATGTTGCAGGCCAGAGCAAGAAATATCTCACTAAGGAAACCATTGCCCATTTCTAGTGACACATTGAGCCATTGCTTGGCCCTGGCCCCTTCCCTTTTACCATGTATTCCTTGTGACACTGGTTGGTCTTTTTGCCTCATCTCCCTATTGATGAAGCTTTGATGTAGCTCTTTGGGTCAAGAATGGCCTCCTGCTCAGCCCTAGGTAATTGACAGACCAGGGTTTTGGGTTCTGCATGCTGTGGCTTTGCCCGTTGTTGCAATGCCACAGTTGTCTGAATGGTGGGGAAACTGGGCAAGCTGGCCCCTAAAGAGCTGCTAACGGGCGGAACATTGTACGGGGTGACAGCAGCAGCTTGGCCACTTCGTCCCTCCTGCCTTCTGCCACCTCTGTTTTTGGTTGTTGTTTAATTTTTTGTTGTTGTTGTTTTGTTTTTAAATACTATCCTTTAAAAGCTATTTCCCTTCCTCACTCAGATTTCAAATGAAGTTTTTCTACATCTCTCAGCTGGCGTACTGGCTCCATGCATTCCCTGAACTCTACTTCCAGAAAACCAAAAAAGTAAGCTGGATTTGTATTGGTTTTTACCTTTAAAAAAAGTCTTGTCGCTGGGCAGTGGTGGTGTATACCTTTAATCCCAGCACTTGGGAGGCAGAGACAGGCAGATCTCTGCCTTTGAGGCCAGCCTGGTCTACAGAATGTGCTCCAGGACAGCCAGGGCTACACAGAGAAACCCTATCTTAAAAAACATTAAAAAGAAAGAAAAAGCAAACAAACTGGTCATTGCTAGTCTTGAGTGTGCCTGTGTTCTCAGCCTCCGCTCTGTTTGTCTTCCCACCTCCCCCTCATTCAAAACCTAAAACACTCAACCATTTCTTTTCTTAAAAAAAACAAAACAAAACCTGATTTTGTTACATTTGGCATGCTGCTTGCTCACTTTTAAATTAGTGGTAATTTAAAACTTAACCAAGTTTTTTTTTTTAAAAAAAAATGTGTTAGTTTCTTCTTACTGGTTTTCTTTGAGCAATTTATTTTACAATTTGATTCACTGGTTGGATTTCAACTAGCAGTCCTGTGTGTAAGTCTAAAAGAAGAAATCCGTGCTGACAAAAAAGTAAAACGTAGTTAAACTTTCACCAGGAAGCCCTTCCTGAGATGAGTGGGCAGGCCAGTCCTCTTTTAGCCTGTGGGAGAGGCCTTTGCTCGAAGAAGTGGATAAACTACTGGAGTGCTCTGTCCCCCCTTTCTGGAAGCTGGCCTGCACGGCTGTACACAGTCACCGCCACTGTCCCTTTACAGAACTCTTGTCCTCCTCGATCCTGAGAAGCTGTCGAGTGCTCTGGGTGTGTGCGTGGGTGCTCCCATCTGTAACCTTCCCCTCTCCGTTCTGCACACTCTGCCTTATACTTCACACTTAGATTCACATGAAGGTTGCTCTTTCAGGATTATCTTTTCCCTATGATAAATTAATCAAATATGTTTTAGAGTAGATATAGTTTACTAATAGAAATAATAATAATAACCTATGTGGGATGTACTTGAAACTCATGGGAAAGATAATTAATGTCAGGGAAGGATAACCAGGTATCGATCCAGATGAGACGATTCCTGTCATTGATTTATGAGCCTAAGCTACAGCTGCACATGGGTTCACTTACTTTGTGTTGGCCGTGTGCTTGCTTATCCACGTTTGCCACAGGTAGAAGGTTTGGTCTTTAGCTCCTTTAGAGAAGTTTTCCTAAGTGGAATTATGACATCCATTTACTGACAGATTTATCTCTTCCCTCCCAAAGTCCACAGATAGTCTTTAAAAAGCATGTACTACAAATAGACCCTTTCTCTCTGTTCTGTATGTGTGCCAGGTGTCTGCTAGGATTAGCAAACAGTTCCACAGTAGAAGCCGTGTACTCTGGCACATGTCATAAAGAGGATTGCTTTTGTAGTTGATCAGACAAGTTAAGGTGAGGGCCCTCAGTTTTTGGAATGTCTGAAAAGTTATTAGGCCCAGAGTTTCCAGGAGCTCTTCCCTGTCTGGTGATCTCCTGGTGTGAGACTTGGGTCTCCTAGGGCTGTGCTGTGCAAAATAGTAGCTGCTAGCCACTGGTAAAGAAGTTAAGTACAAACACAGTTTTACTTCATAGTGACACTAGCCATATTCAGTGCCCCTTATCCCTGTGAGACTAACAACTACCGTTTTATATAGAAGATGCTACACACACACACACACACACACACACACACACACACACACACATACTTTTAAAGATGATTTTTCTGTGTGGACCCAGTCTGGCTTGTAACTCATGATCTTCCTTCCTCAGTTTCTCCTGACTGAGGGGAAGTGATAGGTATGTGTGCCACCATTTGTGGATAGGACAGGTGCGTGCCACCATCTGTGGCTTGGACAGAGATTTAGGGAACATTGGTGTAATTGTGGAAAGCTTTGTTGGCCAACAGTCCTGAGAGTATCATAGTTTCTTGGCTTGGCTAGCTGACATGGCTCAGTTCTTCTGAGCTTTCTTTAGGTGTCTGCATACCCATGGGCACAATGCCTTTGGATTTCATTGTTAATCCAAGTCTGTCTTGTGCACTGAACCTGGTGAGTAGAAAGGAACTCTGCAAAGCAATTGTTCATTGAGCTCCTAAAGCTCTTGCTTATCAGTCCCTGCCAGATGGCATTTCTCCAGAAGTGTGGTCTCATTTTTATGGGATAATTTGCATAACTTAGAACTTAACTGAAACTATTTTTAACACTTACACGTGACAGTTGAAAGTAACTGTTTCAAGTAATTAGCATAATTTGAAAGTAACAGCTGCATATGTGTTAAACCATTTCTTAAAATTTACTCTCTGAAATGTATTTGGGGGAGAAATCTTTACTGGAAGAAACTTGGTGCAGTGACAGTTTTGCAGCAGACTCACAGGCAGAGGAGTAAGGACAGTGAAGAGTTCGGGAGGTTTGGAGGCAGCCAGCATAGTGTCCTGAATGGGAATATTTAAATCGTGTAACTTCACTGTAACCACATCTCTGTTTACCCAGGAGAAGATTGGGAATGCTATATCGTAGCTGGGCTGTGTAGTGTGTAACCACAGTGCCAGAACCAAAGAGGAAGGTGCTGAAGTCGGAGGGTTGTTTGGGCAAAGTAACATGAGGCCCCATTTCAAAGTGGAGTCATTCCTTAGCTAGTTTGAACTTAGAAGCTTTTAAGGAAGTCAGGAAGTGGTCAAACGTTTTGTTGCTGGTAATCAGATTAGCTTTGGTTATAGATAATAGAATTGATTGTTATATCAAATGTTTAGAAATGCTTCCCCATCCCTGCTTGTTGGCAGCTGAGGTCACAGCTCTTTAGTCTCTGAGCTCAGCACTGCAGCCTCCCTTGGGATTTCCTAAAGTCTGTCCTTAGACCTGGATACGGACTTTAAGGGGGCAGTGATGGAAGTATTTTAAGTCTTATGTGCCTTTCACAAACATTTATTATTACTCAGAATAATCAATATATATTATCCCTGTAATATGAGAGCTTTTAAACCTTGGTTTAATATGGATTATAGGGGAATCTTTACCTTTTATAGGTCACGTGTGATCATTTGTAATAAAGCTTGTGTTGTCAAGAAGGGTTTTCTTATAAAAATAGAAATATGCAGGAGCTCTTTAATAAAAATATCCTAGAAGAGCAAGTAGAAGTTTCAGAATTTATAATTTAAACACACCAGTTAGATTTTCTACAAAAAATGAGATTATCCAAATTTTATGGCATTCCACGATTTCCTTCTTGCATAAGCTATATGGACATTAGTATAGAGACTATAATATCCAGGTATGGAAGCACACATCCAGAATCACTTTCTCTGAAACACTTTATTAACTGACTCATTGTTAGGAGTATTTTGTATGTTAATGGTAAACAAAATCTTCCTGTGGCTTCTGGTTGAAAAAGGTAATTCCTACAACAAAATAGGACAAAGGAGAGACTGCTGAAGACACAGCAGACTGGCTTCTCCCCGCGCTGTCAGACGGACTGTTGTTTCCATGGCTGTGCTGAGCCGTCTTCGGACAGCTAGTCTACTTGCGACCCACCAGCCAGCTGCTTCTGTGAGCTCCTTCTCAGAAAGCCAGTTGTACCCAGCTCCCTTGGTTCTCTTCCTTTTCCTCACACCAGAGGACCAGACAAGAGTGTGGTTATCAGCCTTCCACCGAGAGCTCCCAGGGAGACTGGAGAACAATGGGTACTCACCCTAGAGCAGCGCCCTGAAGCAGTCATTTCCTAGATCAGCTGTTTCTGCTTAGCCTGGCATTCTTATGTGAGTCCTTCTGTGGCTCCTGCGGTCTCATGTCTCCTCACTTCTTTTTTCCTTAGTGGTGTTTTTAGACTTGTGATGCAGAGTTAAGCTAACTTGCCCAAGACCGACCCACGGGAAGCATGGAACTGAGTTTTCTTAGGTTCAATTTTTCTGTGTGGTACGCCTGGAGTAGGAGAGCACACCACTGAGACACTTATTTGTATACAACTAAGAGAAAGGGGTTGAAAACTATTGTTTGGGGGCTGGAGGGATGGCTCAGAGGTTAAGAGCACTGACTGCTCTTCCAGAGATCCTGAGTTCAATTCCCAGCAATGACATGGTAGCTCACAACTATGTAATGGGATCAGATACCCTCATCTAGTGTGTCTGAAGAGAGTGACAGGGTACACACATACATTAAATAAATTAATAAATAAATAAATAGATCTTATCAAAAAGAAAGAAACTGTTGTTTGAAAGCTGTTGATACTTCGTTAGCATCTTGGGAACTTATGCTTTTGAGCATGGATTTCCGTGATGGCACTTTATCTGCCATTGTTATTGTCTCAGTCAGGAAGTTAGGGCTAAGATGCCAAGTCATCTGGATATAAGAAATGTGTTATGGCTTATGCCATTAAAAAGTGAGAGTTGGCCTTGTTGTTCATCTACAGTGTGTCTTTGTATTTGCAGGAAGATATCCCTCGTCAGCTCGTGTACATTGGTCTTTACCTCTTTCACATTGCTGGAGCTTATCTTTTGAAGTGAGTGGGGATTTGGCTTGGGTATGACTAGCAGATAGTGTGCTACTCTGTCTGAGTTGGTAATTAGCCTTTCTTCTCCATGTGTTCTTTCAACAGCTTGAACCACCTGGGCCTTGTTCTTCTGGTGCTGCACTATTTCGTTGAATTTCTTTTCCACATTTCTCGTCTATTTTATTTTAGTGACGAGAAGTATCAGAAAGGGTAAGTGCCGTCCTCTCCTGTTTGTTCTGCAGGTGTTCGAAGTCAGTGCCTATATTGTCAAAGCCTATGTCCTTGAGCACTCTACAGTTTTGTTAGTAGTACATTAAAAGAAAGCAGAACCAACACTTAATACTTATCCTCTGGGCTGGAGAGATGACTCGTGGTTAGAGCACATGTTGCTCTTGGAGAGGATCTCTTCCCAGCACCCACATCGTGGCCCTGAGCCATCCATAACTCTCTTCCAGGGGATCCAGTGTTCTCGTCTGGCCTCCACAGGCACTAGGCACACACATACACATAAATAAGTAGGTAAATAAATAATTTTAAAGGCAATGTTCATAGTCTATGTTCCATTCTTTAAAATAGTGCTTCTTAGCTGGACAGATTCTGTATTGGACTTAGTGTTTCTACAGCTGCAATAGCATGGTGTTCTTCTGAGGAAAAGGAGCGATAGAGAAGAAAACTTTTAGGAGAAAATAAAGGGACAGGCCCAGTGAGATGCTCAACAGAAAAGCCTGCAGAGCTAAGGTCTTCCCCAGAAGCACAGAAAGGCATGAGGAGAGGACCAAATGCACACAGTGTCCCCTGATCTCCACGTGGCATGCATATGCCCCCACTCACCCCTACAGCATGCACCCCATAAATGAAACTTAATAAAAAAAAAAAGAAAGTTAAAAAATGAATGATACAGTCTTAAGGATATGAAAAGACTGATGGAAAAACTCAGATGGAAAAGAAAGATTCGAAAGGTGTAGCTTGTGTCTGTGGCCCTTTGAAATGGGAATTGGCATTGGTTGTTCACGGCAGCGCTGGCTTGGCCCGTGCCCAGCATGCTTCAGTTGCATAGTACATAAGTTCTCAAGCACATCACCAGTACTTGACCCTGAACAAGAATATTAGGCAGTTGTCTACTGGAGTTCTGGAAAACCTAAATAGGGTTGTCAGTGCTGTGGACCTGACAGTATGCTACATTGTGTAGAATTTCCTAGGAATTCAAACACAGAAATCCTTTTTGCAGAATAAGATGCTGTTTTAGGGACTAGAAAGATGGCTTGGAGGGAAAGTGTTTACTGTGCAAGCATTGGGACCCAAGTTCAGATCCCTAGGCCCATATAAAGCCAGGTATGGGGAGACAGCAAGAGTAACCTGGGGCTGGACGAGCCAGGCTGTCAGTCAGTGAGCTCTAGTTTCATGATAGACCTGTCTCAGTCAGGTGGAGATAATGAGGAAGGCCCCCTCACTGATCCCCCTTCACAGGCCCAGCCTCTTGCGCTCACCCATAACACACAGCAGAACTGTTTGAATATGCATTTGCTCAGGAGGGATCTCACTGCAGTAGAACCGTCTCTTCATGGTTTTCTTACTGTGACTTTGCATGTCTTTCTTACAGGTTTTCTCTCTGGGCAGTTCTTTTTGTTTTGGGAAGACTTCTGACCCTAATTCTTTCAGTCCTTACTGTTGGTTTTGGGCTGGCAAGAGCGGAGAATCAAAAGCTGGATTTTAGTACTGGAAACTTCAACGTGTTGGCGGTTAGGTACAGTTACTTTCCCCTTGCACTGTTGTTGAGTGTGCCGACAGCCTCTCCCTGTCAGCTGTAATAAGTGAGGGGTAACTGGGGCTGGAACCTTGGTTTGGTTTCATGCCTACTGCTGGTTTCTGTCCACATAGGACAGTACTAAAGCCTTTGTGTAATTTCTAATATGATTTTCTCAGTAAATGATTATTCCTTAGCATTAAGCATTAGCACTGAGTCACCACCGTCAGACCACGCACGGTAGGATACTTGTATTCCATGGCGTATTCAATACAGTCTAATATTTGTTTTCCGTGTGCTTTTCAGGATTGCTGTTCTGGCATCCATTTGCATCACACAAGCCTTCATGATGTGGAAGTTCATTAACTTCCAGCTTCGGAGGTGGAGGGAACATTCTGCCTTCCAGGCCCCACCTGTGAAACGGAAACCAGCCGTGACCAAAGGCAGGTCTTCCAGAAAAGGAACAGGTTGGTATTGACATAAGTCCTGGGAGCACAGAAGTGGAGGCATGCAGAATCGTAGCTATGGGGCTTCTATGCCCAAAGCTTTACCAGATAGTTTCAGTACATGGAACAGTACAGTTTGCAGTCGTCGTGACTGGCTTCAGTTGGCATATTGTAACTTTTCTATGTGTTATGTAGATGCATCTGTATGTTGTCTGGACGTCAGAGGACAGCCCTAGGGAGGTCATTCTTCCATCTTCCATGGGCTCCAGGGATCCAACTTGCAAAGCAGCCAATTGCTGAGATACATTATCAACTATAGCATAGTATTTTTAAATTTTTGTAAATGACATTTTGATTTATGGAGGGTGAGTGAGCACAAGCCAAGGTGTGCATGTGGAGGGCAGAGGACAATGCTTGGGCAGCAGCCCTCTCCGTCCACCTTCTGGAGCCTAGGGCTGGAGCTCAGGCCACGGCCTGTCAGTGGCGCGTTCACCTGCTGAGTGCAGCTGTGGCACGCACACGGCACCACCAGTGCTCAGTCGTGTGTGAGTGTGCCATGCTTTATCTGGTTGGAGGACATTTGGGTTGTGTGCACTTTGAACAATAAGCACATCTCTCCACGTCTTTGTCTGCACACTTCTTTTCCTGTTGTCTCTTAGGTCTGTATCTGGTGTGGACCTGCTGGGTCATTAGGGAAAGCACCAGACTAGTGCTGCTGCATAGTGGCATCATTTTAGGGAGCTGCGTCTTTCTCGGCTTCAAACACAGTTTTTCTTGTACTATATTTGGGAAGACTAACCTCTCTATGATGAAGTTTGAAAACTGAGTCCCATCTGAGCTCTGGCTTCTGCCAGATGTATTTAGGTGCCTATCACTTTGCAAATAGTGCACTGTTTTGCTGTGGTTGTGTGGGTAGGCACTCCCTTGATATGTCTGTGGGAGTGGGTAGCTCACTGTCTTGCTGTGGTGTGGGGGTGGGTAGCTCACTGTCTTGCTGTGGTGTGGGGGTGGGTAGCTCACTGTCTTGCTGTGGTGTGGGGGTGGGTAGCTCACT